TTAGAACCTCATAGAAAATGCAGAACTATAGAATGGAGATCAGGTCACAGGTCCCAGGGGGCTGAGGATGTAGGGTGCCGAATCAGAAGACGAGCGGGGGGTTCTGGGGAGGTGAAGCTGCTCTGTATCTGGATTTGGGTGGTGGCTTTGCAACCCCATGCACCTGTCAAAAGTCATTAAACAATACACACAAAAGACAAACTCTACAAACAAAACACACCTTGATAAGCCTGATTTCTATGAGGAAGGGGAAACAGTCATAGGATGTGTCAGGGAGACTTGGAGACCCCAAGCACAGACCTGGGCTGCAGCAAAGGGTTCCTGAGAGGCCACACTCAATGTAGTCTCTGCACTCCAGTGGCTGAGACAGAGGGCCAACAGGGGCTGTTTAATGAGACCCTGCCTCAGAGAGGAAGGAGGAGGGGGAGAGGAGAAATTGTTGGGGGGAAAGCAGAATGCTGAGCCCCATCCCATGGGTGACGAGAGACCAGAACCCCACTTCAATGAGACGAACCCCACACACTTTAGTCTAAGAATGGTTGCCACAAACAGTGCTCCTTGACACACCACAGGCCAGTGCTTGAGGTCTTGAGGAACCTACTCTAAGCTGAAGGTATTATAAACTGATATGCATTGAAGTCACCAGAGAGAGCTGGCAGCCCAGGGAGGCCCACAAGGTCTAGCATGTCAGTCATTACCATCAAGACCACCAGCCACCTGGCTGCCCAGCATAGTGAGATGTCATCAGACTGTATACCTCTGGCCCGGGAAAGGGTCACAATTCAAAATTCTTATATGCTGTCCACACGTCCCTTCTACACTCCCATTAAGTCAGGGGCTCTCTGTCTATACAGCCTTCTCAGCAGGGCTCCATGAGCACTCTTCATCTGCAGAGTGGACCCAGCACCCCACAATCTACAGGGTGGATCTCTGCTGTGCTTTCCTGGCATGCTGGGTTCCAGCCCCAGCACCTGAAAAGGCCACAGACTCCCACCTGGTGTGGTGCCACCTCCAAAGGACAAATCTTGGAGCCTTTTAGATCATGGATTGAAGGAGAGCTCAAACCCTTCTGGAAAAACATTCCCCGTGGGTAAGCCAAGCTAATCCTCACTTTCTAGAGTCTTGTTCTCCTGGAAACACCTGCCAAGCTAATTAAGTAGAGAGATCCTCCAGCTCATTCTGATCCATCATCTGCAACAGAACCTTCTAGAATATTCTACCTTTCAGGACAGGCCAAGAATCTGACCATGTGCTGTCATATCTCCCAGGGGACCCAAAAGAGTATTTCTCAGTTCTAGAGGAGTGCCCATTAGCCATTGCCCACAGGCACCCAGACACCATGGTGACTCTGGGCTCCTTGTTAAGTCCTTACAAAATGGGACACCTGTGATGGAGGACAGGATGTATGACAGCACACAGACCAGTGCCTAGCTCATGGCCAGGGTCAGATTTCCATACTGTGCAGGGGAGGCACCCTAGCATATGGAAGGCTGGGGGGAAGCTGAGATGGTCCTTATGGGGCTGACAGATACCAGTTCTTCAGATGAGCCCAGCCTAGCTTCCAATGAGCAGGAGCAATGGCATGTGCACTTGAGTGGCTCTGAGAGTACAAGGCAGCTGGGACCTCATCACAGCTCCCACTGGGTTTCTACCTAGACACAGGACAGCTCTTATTTTCACATGGCTGGCCTCAGGAGATGCTGGGAAACAGAAAAGGAAGGAACTGAGGTGGCCCCAGAGTGAAGAGAAAGCAGGGTTCCAACCTCTAGTGAATCACACCAGAACTGACACTTGGAAGGCAGACTCCCGCGCCATGAGCAGGCAATCAAGCTCAGAACTTGCATACCCTGCTCCTCAGCCAGCAAAGACATGATGGTCCATACTTCTCTACACCCTCAGCAAACATTCCCAACACGCTGTGCTGTCCACTCCTGGGTGTAGATTCCAGACCCACGTTGCAGGACAACTCTACAGAAGAGAAAGTCCCCAAGGGCCAAAAGATACATACTCCAGGGTCATCAAGGGCAGCATGGGCAAACACATCCTAAAGAGACACAGCAATACACAGGAACATTCTAGAAGCACTTCCAGCAGCGTGAAAGCACCTCAGTGACATGGTGGCAGAGGACACACATAAAAGTACACTGCTGATTCCATTCACATGAGGTTCAAAAACGAGGTAAGGAGCTGGGTTAGGCTAGCCTTGTGTGTGTGTGTCGGGGGGTGACCAGACCAGGAAGTAGAGGGAGCCCCTTGATGTGAGAGCTGGGAACACAGACATGTTCACTTTGTGAACGTTTATGATGTTAGGCCCAACTGGTGTGCTTGCCTGTACAGGGATCAGATTTTATTCTAATCAGAGTTAACGGGGTCGGGATGTGGCTCGATTGGTAGAATGCTTGCCAAGTATGCATGAAACCCAGGTTCAATCCCTGGCACAGCATAAAACTGGGTGTGGTGGCCCACACCATCCTCCACTACATAGTTAATTTCAGGCCAGCCTGGGCTAGATGAAGCCCTGTCTCCAAAACAAATTAATTTTTTTTAAGTTTAAGTACTTAAGCATTTATATGTTTTCAATGCCAACAGGATTTGTATTTTTTAAAAAAGCTTCCGTGGGCACTCTGACTCCTCGGTCTGCTTCCTCTCCTCTCCCTAGCCTGGATTCCTTGTGGGATCCTTGGTCCCTTCCTTCCCATCCCTCTGGGAACTACTCTGTGTGATGGCCAGCTTGGTGATAGATTGGGGATGGGATGGGTGCTCCTTCTGGAGTGGGGCTGCGTAATGTGAAGGGACAGAAAGTGTACTGGGAAAACTGCACACACTCATTCCAAAGCTACAGAGCAAGCCAGCCCTGGCAAGCTGGCATCGTGGTGGCGTGGGTCCCGCATCTCAGCCCTGCCATCCCTCCTGTGAGGGGACTATAGCTCTTGAGCTGCGGCATCCGATTGGACAGGAGTGAGCTGAGGACAACAGGCCTCCCCACCACCTCTGCCTCCCCTTGCAAAGCTGCAGAAGGGGAAAAGCCATTTCAACACAGAAGCTGTCAATCCATCGACACCCCAGGATAGCCCAGAGCTATGTAAGGACACGTGCTGACCCCTGACACCCTCCTAGCCCCAGCTGCTCACTCCAGTGATGGGCACAGAAATCACGTGATCTTTGAGCATCTTCCTGGGCCTTGAGTGCTGGGGGGCACACCACCTTCAGGGACAGCCTTTTCAAGTAGGGTTTGGGGGCAAGATTCTGAGCACCATAACATGTTACAGTGACACCTGCCCCCAAAAAAGGCCTTCTGAGCCGGACACGGTGCCGCACACCTTTAATCCCAGCACTTTGGAGGCAGAGGCAGGCAGATCTCTGTGAGCTCGAGGCCAGCCTGGTCTACATAGTGACTTCCAGGACAGCTGAGGCTACAGGGAGACCCTGTCTAAAAAAAAAAAAAAAAAAAAAAAAAAAAAAAAAAAAGGCCTTCTGCTACACAGATCTTAATTTCACCAGCCTCGGATAAACCACTCACTCTGAACCCCCAAGCTCTTGGAATAATTTCACATCCTCCAGAAACCAACCATCTGGAGCTCCCAGAGGTGAAAATACTGATCACCACACCCCTCAAGCAATAACTCCAAGACCTCAAAGAGCCCAGCCCTGGCCTGAGATAGAACCACCCAAATCACACACACAAGAACTTTGACACCCCTGGTGAACGCCAGGGACCCATCCTGCCTCATTCATTTCCCCCAAGTGGGCCAGAGCCTGAAGCAAGAGGCACATTTAGGCATCGCAGGGTGCCCTGGGGAACAGGGTGTGCGCACCCCCACCGGGAATCTGGGTCAGACTTAGATAGCTGAGAGAAAGAAGGACTACCCATCCTGCCTGTCTCTCCCCAGATGCTAAGCCAGCCTTCTTCCAGGTTTATGGAAGAGATTTCAAGAAATCAAGGGTGCTGTGTGTAGAAAGGAAGATGGACTCTTTTTCCTCTGGGTCTTTAGTTTAGAGAGAAGGAAGGGGTAAAGGCCTCTACCTGCCCAAATGTCCCTACAGAGGCTCTTCCTGGTGTCCCCTCCCAGCTTCTTAGGATGAGAGAAGCTGAACCCAATTCAAGCCCTTCAAAGGGACCCACACTTCCTTCCCTATCCTGCCTGGCTCTTACCTAAAGAACCCACCTGGGGTCTTCCTAGGTTATGGGCCCCACCAGGCAGATGGGATAAGCCTCTTTACACCCCAAAAGATGATGATGATAACAGGAAACCGACCTGCATACATGGGGTCTGAATATGCATCTCCTAAACCCCAAACTAGACACATGACCCCCAAATGGAGCCAGCGGCCCACCTGAGCAGCTCGTTGTGACCAGGGCTGGCTTCACTGCCAGGCCACATGGTGTGCCATCCGCTCTTGGCCCTGGGAGCTGCCAAGCGCCCTACCCTGAGCAAACCTTGCCCTGAGCAAGCGGCTCCCACCTTGTGTGGAAAGCTAGGGTGGAGAGGTCCTCCGGGGTACAGTTTTAGAGGACTTGGGTGGGGGCACCAAACCGAAGCCTCCACCCCCAGGTATTGGGTCCTCTCACCCTGACCCAAAGCATCCAGGCCCTGGCCCAGCCAGGGCACCATCCGGAGAAGTCACACCCCAGCGGGACTGTCTGCAAGGGCCCCCACCAGCGCCCACGAGCGACCCCAGGGCCCAGACCTAAAGGATGACATCGGTCTCCGCAAGCTCCCGACCCACTCCGGGCTCGCTCCGCAGCTGCAGCCCATCAGGCCCTGAGGGGGACGCTGCCCCTCAGCTCCTAGGGCCCCATCCAGCCCCTGGCAGAGTGGGGAGCCCCCCAGATCCCATCAGCCCCCAGGTCTATCTCCTAGTCCGGCGGAGGGGGGAGGAAGAGGAGGAGGAAGAGGAGGAGGAGGAAGAGGAGGAGGAGGAGGGGGAAGAGGAGGAGGGGGAGGAGGAGGAAGGGGAGGAGGGGAGGCGCAGCTGCCCAGGCTCGGGGCAAAGGATATGGCCATTCCGTGATCTTTTTGGCGTATTTTCTCACCACGTTGTCTTCGCTGAAGAGGAACAGGGAGCGGTTGACCGTGAGGCAGTTCTGGCGGACAGGGATGGGGTTGTAGAGGGCCATGGTCCGCGCTCTCTGCGCCATCGACTGCTTGTACATCCTCTGCGCCCCCGGTTGCGCGCCCTGCCGGCTGCCCCCGGCTCCTCGGCCCGCGGCGCCCACGACCACCCCGGCGGCCGGCCCCGAGCCTCCTCCGCCGGCGCCGTAGCGGCCCGGCATCTCGTCTCCGAAGCGGGCCATTCTGCAAAGAGCAAAGGGTTACGCGGCGGCTGCTGTTGCTGCGGCGAGCGCTGCGGAAGCCACTGCCGCCGCCGCTCAGGCTGTGGGGACGGCGGCTGCACCTGCGACTGCGGAGACGCTCCTCGGCCCAGCCCATCGGGCGGCGGAGGGCGCCGGGCTCGGCTCGGGCTCACGAGCGGGACCGCCCGGGCCGGCCGGGGAGCGCGGCTCGGGACATGCCGGCAGAGGCGGTGACCGGGCGGGAGGAGGCGCG